GATATCGAGGCTTTCAGGGATCGTCCCTGCTATCTCTATCGCAACTTCTTTCAAGAGATCGTTTAGACCATCATATGTGTCCTTCATCCGGTCAAGCTCTCGGTCGAGTCCTGGCTTCACGACAGTTCTGCCTTGGTCTTCCGAGCAATCGATGTCGACCTGGCGACAAAATTAGCTGGAGCGTCCCCCAAACCCCGAGTGGATTATACAATTTCCTGAATCATCCTTCCTACTCGATACAGTTGAGATGCTTCAAATATACGGAGAGCCTGGATACTCATTAGTGTGCTTGTAGCATTTCCATAAACGGCCATACCTGGGTACGCAAATTTAGCGTATCTGCACCGAATGTCTCCTTCAACGCGTCATGAATATCAATACCAAAGAAGGCAAACTGAGCGATATTAGCCAGGCGTGTACAAATTACGTGTAAGCACTAGGTTGACGTACAGCAAGTAGTGTAGCCCAAACTGTTGTCTTGAAACCAGTGATCTTAGCACTTCCCGTACTGATGCCCTTTCGAAGGTTGATTATCACGGGCCGAAGATTTTTGATATGCTTCAAACTCTTCACAATTTTATTTAAGGCATTGTAGTTATCCTGCCTCAGGTAGACACTGATGAAGTCATGACGCTCGCGGATGACATTCATTTCGACGCTTGGGCGAAGGAACATCTGTCTAAGCCGGTTTCTCCCCTGCGGAGTATGTGCGAAGCGCTGAAACAAGCCATATACGGAGAGGCCTTCTTTTGAGGCGGGTGACTTTCTTCCGGGCCCTTGATTGAGCATACTAGGGTGTGACTCGGACTCTGTGATTTGTAGGGAAAGTAAAGTGCTTCTATTGATGAACCTAGAACACTGTCAGAAAGCCATGTCACAGTGAATTGCCAGGACTTACATGGTTCCCTTGAGGCTGAACATCTCGACAGAGCGGACCTGATATGCTCCAGCAGACCCAAGCGTAGTGATCGAGTCAGTAGTTCTTCGCCTTTGGAGGTATGCGAGGACAGCCCCGGCACAGCCCATGGTGACAGTGTTCTCCATATCGATGGAGCTTGCCATGTGCAGAAGTCTTCCCTCCTGAAGTGTGAAACCCAAGCTCTCCGCATCCAGTTGCTCAGGGTCAATCAATCCACTGTGAGGGACCAAGAACTTAATCCGTTGTTCATGAGCTGACGCAACCTCCAGAGACGCCAATTTAGTCGTAGCATTGGAATGGCTAAATTCTTGTGACGGGCGAATATCCAGTTGATAAGGCAGGTAAAGATAAGTGCCTACAGAACTACCAATTAGCGATATGTAAACGCAAGCAGCACCAAAATTTGGATACCATCTTGTTCGGAGATTTGTGGTGTATTTAAGTAGTCAACGCGAGCTGAGGTAAGGAGCACAGTGGGCTTCGTCTGTTCGATCACTAGGCTGTTGTCAGTGCTTTCTTCAGGGTCAAATGGGAGTATAATGTCCAACGGCTATCAATTGCATCATTACTCGATGATCGTATATCTCCTAAAAGGCAAAGTCTTTCTTCCTGAGCCGAGTAGTAAGCGCAACCGATGGTACCTGATTCTCGAGTATCGATTGCGACAATGACCTGCTCGAGATCGTCGTCAGACGATCTTTCCAACGAGCTGTTACGGACCCTGCGATCAGTTTCATTGTTTGAAGGAAGCGGCTCTAATGCAGAAGATCTTTGCGAATTGGAGCCGGAATTGTGGGAAATATTCGGTCTCTGGCGCAAGGGCACCGATTCGTCCGTACGGCTGTTCCTCGAATTGCGAGAATGTGGTGTAATGTATGATTGATATGCTGTGCGTCTTCTCTTCATTTGAGACGACATACTGGATGAGAATTCCTTGAGGTAGCAGACGCTGATGAGATTATTGGTCGAGTTGGCGTTGGACTGCCTCTCGACTCGATGGATACCTATTGTTATTTAGTCTTAAGCCTCAGGCTTCCAGGTTCACACTGTTTTGAATGCTACAGTTCTGGATCAGAAGAGATTTTATTTGCTCAGCAATTGTCTTCGTCCATGTTACTTCTTTAATGTACACAAGAAGAAATGCTATAATACATGTCAAAAAATCATAAACTCCCCCTAGCCAGGTGGCAATCTTGAACCAGCCAAGAACCAAGTAAAATGCACACAGATGATACACCAACACCGACAACCGAACAACATACTCCTTTACATTAAACAGATCATGACTTCTCCTCTTTTGCGCCGTCTGCTGCGACTTCAAGCGCGGTCTTGTCCGCGTTGAACGAGACGATGGCAGTTTGCCCCGAGGTCAGTTCACCACGAATGATCTTATCAGCGAGCCTGTTACCAATCTCCTTGGCAATCAAGCGATTGAGAGGCCGAGCACCATACTTGGGATCATATCCCTTTTCGCAAAGCCAATTTTTGATCTCGTTGTCGACTTGCAGGACAATGCGGCGGTCATCAAGCCTTGCCTGGAGTTCCTTGATTCGGATATCAACAATATCCCGCAACGCCTCTCGGGAAAGTCTTTTGAAGACGATGAATTCATCAATACGGTTGAGGAACTCCGGAGGATAGGCACCCTGCACTACTTCCATAACGGCCTTTTTGATGTCAGGGGAGAGTTCTGCATCGCCGTAATCCTTGAAGGAATGTAATGGGTCCGCACCAACAAGGATGTCGGCACCGAGGTTCGAAGTTAAGACAATGAGAGTATTCCTGAAATCGACTTTGTGGCCTTGGGAATCTGTTAAGAAGCCTTCGTCTAGAACCTGCAACAGCAAGGCGGAGATGTCGCGATGAGCCTTTTCGAATTCGTCAAATAGCAGGACTGCGTACGGTTTCCGTCTTACGGCCTCCGTGAGCTGTCCAGCATCGTCGTAACCGACGTATCCGGCAGGTGACCCGATAAGACGGCTGATTGTGTGCTTCTCCTGGAATTCGCTCATATCGAATCTCAAGACAGCAGTCTCAGTTGAGAACAAAAACTCTGCCATCTTCTTGCAGAGTTCTGTCTTTCCGACACCGGTAGGGCCCAAGAACATGAACGATGCCAACGGACGGTTCTGACCACTCAGACCCGCTCTCTGCATGCGCACAGCATTGGCGACGGCTGCGAGAGCTTCGTCCTGTCCACGAACCGACTGTCTAAGCATATCCTCCATGTGAATGAGTTTCTCCACCTCTCCAGCCATGAGCTTGTTGACAGGAATGCCAGTTGTCCGAGACACGACGTTCGCAATGTCATCCGGGGTCACAGAGTCGTGAATCAATGTCGTCTCCCCCGCCACCGCCTCCTCGCCCTCTTTGGGCAATTTCGCCTCGAGGCTTGGAATTGTCGAATATCTCAACTCTCCAGCCTTCGCAAAATTACCCTCCCTCTGTGCTTGGTCGAGCTCGAACCGAGCACGTTCAAGCTCTTCTTTAGTGCGCTTGAGGGACTCGATTTCTGCCTTCTCCTTCTCCCAAACCTCAGTAAGTTTCGCAGATTCTTCTTGTTTGGCCTTCAAGTCCTCCTGCAGCTTTTCGCGTCGCTCACGACTACTAATGTCAGTCTCCTTGCGGAGAGATTCAAGCTCGATCTGAATAGTAGTAATTTGGCGATCCAATTCTCTGATCACATCGGGCTTTGATTCTTGCTGTAGTCGGAGGGCCGAGGCTGCCTCGTCAACGAGATCGATAGCCTTGTCGGGAAGGAACCGGTCGGTGATGTAGCGGTTGCTGTACGTTGCTGCGGCGACTAGGGCTGCGTCGGTAATCCGCACACCGTGGTGTACTTCGTACTTGTTCTTGATACCACGCAAGATGGAGATTGTAGCGGCGACTGACGGCTCGCCAACTTGGATGGGTTGGAATCGTCGTGCCAGAGCGACATCTTTCTCGATCAATCTGTACTCGTTCAGGGTGGTGGCACCACAGCACTGCAGTTCACCTCTGGACAGTGCTGGCTTGAGAAGGTTACTAGCATCAATGCTGCCCTCAGCCTTGCCTAGCCCAAGCAAGGTATGAAGTTCGTCGATGAAGAGAATCACGCCACCTTGCGCGTCCTCAACTTCCTTGAGAACAGATTTCAAACGTTCTTCAAAGTCACCCCGGAATTTTGCACCAGCAATGAGCGAGCCAAGATCAAGGGCAATGACACGCTTGTCCTTGATGCTTTCTGGAACATCTCCCTGCACGATTCGTTGAGCCAATCCTTCCAGAATCGCAGTTTTGCCAGTACCGGCCGCTCCGATGAGGACAGGATTGTTCTTCGTTCTTCTCGATAATACTTGGATGGTGCGGTGGATTTCCGAATCTCTTCCAATAACCGGGTCGAGTTTCCCTTTCTTGGCCTTTTCCGTGAGATCGACACCATATTGTTCCAATGCGGACTTCTCTGGCTCGCCGCCGAGATTCATTCGATGCGTACCACCCGGGGGATGCGGTCGTCCATTAGCATAGTGGCGAATTAAAGATACTGACTGCAGGGCAGCAGTGAGGGAAGCTCTAGGTAGAAGAGACTGTGTTTGTGGGAGACAACGTAATGTCTGGGAAGGACGGAATATACGGTTCGATGATAGAGCTGGCGTTCGAAGAAGCCGAGCTCGAGCGAGCTGCCTCGACGCCATAGCGTTAGTAGGTTGTGTAGCTGATTTCAATTTTCGATCGTAGGTTTCAGTATGGTAGAAGGTTAAAAATCGAACGCTAGAAGTACGAGTCTATGACTTCCTATATACCCCAACGGTTTTAAGGTGATCCAAGCATCATGATGCTTCTCGAAAGCTCCACCTTTGTGAGCGCTGTGAGTGGCGGGAGCTCTCCAGCTGAACCGACCAAGCTCCGTCACCTCCCAGATCACGTGCGGCCCCATCGAGGGGCTTTTTTCGCACCTAACCCGCTTTCGCCCAGGACCCTCCTTGGGAGAAAAAAAACTTCTTCTACTGGACACCTCACCCCTCTCCTATTTATTACTTCTTCTTTCCCCTCTTCTTTTCTAACCACACACATATTTTTCATTTCTCTATATCATATCACAATGGGTTTCACCGACTTCGTCTCTGAGGCTGGCCTCACCCGTATGTCTTCTTTTTATTCTATTGCCTCTGGTCAGTAGCTAATGGTGCCCCTCAGTTGCCAACAACTACTTGGCTAGCAGGAGCTACATCGTTGGGTAAGACTCGCATTTTCGGGATTCCCTCATCGAATTGTTTCCTCCCACGCACAAGATTCACCTCGATTGCATGATGAAAACAAATTGGTCCGTGTTTAGGAGGCGGCTTAAGACCCCGCTGGATGACTACACAACAATTGCGAGAAATCGCGTTTCTGATTATGAGGAAAAATCTGCGTGCTACTCGAAGACGAATACAACTCGTGCTCGAAGAAGCAATACCTAGATTATTCATTGGCTAACATGTCATGATAGCGATGCTCCTTCTCAGGCCGATGTTGTGACCTTCAAGGCCTTCTCTGGCGCTCCTGACGCTGAGAAGTACCCTCACGTTGCTCGCTGGTACAAGCACATTGCTTCTTACGAGCCTGAGTTCTCCAGCCTCCCCGGTGATGCCTCCAAGGCCTACACTGCCTATGGCCCCGAGACCACCGAGCTGCCCACCAACCCCAAGGACAAGCCCGCTGCTGAGGAGGACGACGATATGGACCTCTTCGGCAGTGACGAGGAAGAAGAGGACCCTGAAGTCGTTGCCGCTCGCGAGGCTCGCCTTGCTGAGTACAAGAAGAAGAAGGAGGGCAAGGTTAAGCCTGCTGCCAAGTCCATTGTGACTCTCGAGGTTAAGCCTTGGGGTATGTTTGACCGCTCATAGTCACCCTTTCTGGAACGTTACTAATTGCTCTCGTTTAGATGACGAGACCAACCTCGATGAGCTCCTCGAGAACGTCAAGGCCATTGAGATGGACGGTCTTGTCTGGGGTGCCTACAAGTGGGTTCCCGTTGGTTTCGGTATCAAGAAGCTCCAGATCAACCTTGTCGTTGAGGACGAGAAGGTCTCTCTTGATGAGCTTCAGCAGCAGATTGAGGAGGATGAAGACCACGTCCAGTCCACCGATGTTGTAAGTTTCAACTTTTGATCTGACGGCGAGGCAATGGATGCTGACATTATACTACAGGCCGCCATGCAGAAGCTGTAATTGAAATGCCCGTTATGAAGACCAACGGTGTGATGATGGAATATTTATGCGACTTGTAGTGTCATGAAACAACTAGAAGTCGACTGGAGCAGTCTCCAGTCGTTTTGATGAAAATCAAACCCAATGCACAAAATACCCACATTCAGTTTGTCTCCCATTCTTATTGTAGCATAGCGTCTTGCCAGTAAATATGAATAGGGGAAAAATAGGATTGGTGCCTGATCTTGGACTTGAAGCTGGGTGGTTGTCGTTACTTGTCAGTTGTTGTTAGCCCAGCCATTCCAATATTGAGCTCCCACTGTGCCTTTTGCATAGACCCAAGCTGCCAATTATTCAGAAAAATTAATCTCTTGCTGAGCTAGCTTCTTATCTTGAGCTTTTTTTTGGAGCCCAGACATGTCGAGGGCCCTTCTTATCATATGAAAATGCCCTCAAACCCTGAGACCGCAAACTCCCTTTCAACGCCGCCGTATAAATGTTGAACTGTTTCTCTCATCTTTCATACGCCGAACATGAACTACTCTCCCCCCACTATCTCAGAGAAAGAGATATTTTATCTGTGAATATCATGTTCTTCCAGTCCTCGAGGGTCTAATCTTTGTGGGCAATGCAAAATAGTAACTGTTCCTGGTTCATCTCATCAGTAAGGCCTGGTTTAGTCATTTATTTAATATACTGAAGCCATTCTGCTTCAGGAGGCATAAAACAGAAGAATGATAGGAGATACCAGCCTCAAATGTCAGAATTTCAATAGATTTCTCACGCCCATTTCAATCTCTATCAACTGGTTCAAGAACGGCTTGCTCAGTAGTTTCAGTGATCGCTTTTGGACGGCCTGAACGCTTGCCATCTTCCACATATTCTGGTAGAATACGTGGATCAACCTCTGGATTGTAGCCTCGCTCCCTCGCTTTTTTAACCCAGTATTGGATGACTTGACGAGATAGACCAAGGCATGCCCCAACCACTTTGATGTCAACACCAAGGGATACCATTGTCAAAGCTTGGACGCGTATGGTAATCGGATGAGGCATCTTAGGCTTGTGTTCAGGCGGTTTCGAACGTAGGAGGTAGGCAGGCAGGCAGATATGGTGAATTGTAGGAGAAAGTTGCATCGAACTCATCTTGAATCAATGAGATCGAAAGGGGCTCTGGATTGCTTTTCTTCAAAATGAATGATAGATCGAGTCACTAGAAGCTACGGAGGAGTGTTGATACTGATAGATCTCCCTACTAATTTCGCTGGTACTACTACCTTGTATGATTGGTCTTGCCAAGCCTAGGTACCTACCAGCGGCAAAAAACTCGAGCCGTAGGGAGTGCGTATCATGGTCCTCCGGTCACCCGTACGAGCAAGTGCGCAATTGGTCGATAACATCGTAGCTCGGCATACGGAAGCTGTCTAATCCACTGAGAGCTGCAAATCTACACAACAACCATTTGCATTTCATCTTTCACCCGGATTTCTCGACTGCAGTGATAGGGCGCCGACCTATCCATACATCCCGACCTCGTCGCGAGAAACCCGCCAAACCGGCCACTATGGGCTTCACATCGCGAATAATCACACTCTTTGGGCTCGTTCTGCTCGCACATGCGTATGCCGCATCTCTCAACCCAACAACTACTCCAAAAGACTAACCAACTGAATTTCAATCTGCAGAGGCTACTCCGCCCACGAACACACGGTCCTATACAGTAACGTGCGCGTTTCATCAGCCTCCACCGCGCTTCCCCATGATATCGTCATCGAGGCCTTGGTCTCCCTCGTCATCGTCTCCGCGGGACTCGTCCTAGGCGCAGAGAAACTCAAGCCGATTAGCTGGAGCGAATGGGCCGGGGAGATTGAGAGGGAAGGTGGCGGTAGGAATCCTTATCTGCGGCTGGAGGAGCGATACAGTTTCTGGGATATTAGGGTGAGTTGACTTTCCCGTTTGGTGTCAGTTTTGAGCTCGGCTGATTCGGTACTAGGCGAAGCGGAAGGAATTCGCCGAATGGGTTCGGGGGAATGATGCCTTGGAGGAAGCGAAATAAGGAGAATCAATGTCTTTGAGATGAGGTTATATGGTTGTATATTGATAGATCTGCTGAATTTCAATGGATGAGGACATCTGCCTGCAGCATCATGGATTCTTTCTGCGCTACTCTTATAATTTGCGGACAAACTCGACGATCAGGTCCTGATATTTCCAGGATATGCTTCAGAAGGCATTTCGAGAATTGGTCATGCACTACGGCTTTGACGATCATCCGCAAGCATGGGATGCTACGAAAACCATCTCAACGATGAGCTGAAGTGAGGTACAGGTCGTGTATACACGAAAATACACTCCATGACCTGCCTCGGACCATACAGTAGGCGAACACTTCGCTCATGGAGCCACGATTGAAGGGCTGCTGAACCACTCACCTATGCACCTAATGTCGACTAGTCTATGTGTATTTTGTCTGGCGCAAGCGACAGTTGTCAGTCATCCGAGAATGCCTCCCATACTAGGAAGAGGGATGAGATTACTGCGCTTTCCGTCGAGTTTGCAAGGCACGTCCCATCTAGTAAATTCACTACTGCTGAAATTCAGAACTATCTTTTATAGCATAGGGAGAACCCTGCAGGAGCAGTTGCAGGAGTAAGTGAGTGATAGAGAACAGTCAAGGAACCAGCTAGTGCAGCAAGTTGACCAAATAGTGATTACACCTCTGTTACTGTAAATGTTTCACCACACTCTCTTCCATTCATTTTAGGAAAACCCAGCGCTTTCCACTGATCATTGACCAATCAATTCACATTCCTTTTTTTGTATGAGTCCTATACAGAGTAACCTTTCCAGTAAATTACCACGAACATTGTCGCCTCTGAAACTGAACGTAAGGTTTATCTATCTAATACTCGAATTGGGAGCATAGTCTGAGGCAGATAATCACTAGACTTCTGTTTCTTCGTATGCGGGCTTAGGACGCAGACTTTGGACCTTCATATTAGTAACATTTAGAGCTACGAAGCCGAGGCTTTTAGCAGCAAGATTTTTATCATCAAGGAAGGTTAGAAAGTCCCTGTAGGATCTTATTGTATTTGCCAGCCAGTTCATCATAGCGTTCAGCGTCTTGATTCCACATTTTATCATCGTTGGTCAAATGTGTATCCCCGAAACAATTCTGCGACATCTTCTGACTGGAAGCAGGCGGAGGCCATATCTTTCCCTGACTTCATGTAGTGGCATCTCGAAGGACTATGCTATCTTGGCCCAAAGAAGGAGAATGCGCTTCTATCAATCCGCGTTTCGAATCTGGAAAAGTGACTGGCTGGAGGCCATTACAGGATGCAGAGGGCTGAGAGTTTCTGGCACTATGGAGTAGTGTGAGAACCAGTAAAAAAAGGGTCATACATACACCCCTCAAATCCAATAGGTCTGGACCGCCATGTCTAGCATATCCCTACGCACTGTGATGTGCAGCGGTTGACGAATTCAGCAGCAGGCTGGGTAGGCTGCCAATTTCCTCCTTCTGAGCCCACTCTAATAATGCTACCATTTGTTCGGTGTACTGTATGATGTCTGTCATTCCTAACTAGCGTGTGTGTGTGTGTGTGTGTGTATATTTTACGGCCGTGGCTCGTGACTTGCACGTTTTCCACTATCCCTGATCAGGGCAAAGGCCGCCAGGGGGTGAGCCCTGGGTGTCTCTAACTATTGCTAG